TTGTTAAAAAACACCCGTTGTCTATAAACGTTAAAAGAACAAAATTCCTCTTCTCAGGTTTTTATAGTCTAGAAGACTGGTATACATAAACAAGGCTGCCTCTAATTTATAGAGAACTTTGTGAAAATTAGAAAAAAAAAGTGTCTGCTGCTCCAGGCAGGTTACTTAGGAAAAGGCACCCCCTCTAGGAGCTGCAGCACAGGGATGGGTTTCTGAGTACGTATGTGCACGTAGTGGTCCTGGATAGAAATGACTTATACAGAAATAGAACCTAAAAAGAATACGCCATTGAGAAGTGCAGGTAAAGGTTATGGAACAGTGTAAGCATAGTTTGTGTTCGACTCCTCATGGCAGAGGTGGTATTGGAGCAGGCTTTGTATAAAAAGTATCATTTAAATGTACAGAATGTGATAGAAAGTACATGGAACAGAGAGAGCAAAACTTATCAGAAAGTAGAGTTACTAATTTTTGTTGGAACAAAATGGAAGATTGTAAATTTACATCGACCAATTGTGAAGTAGAGACATAAATTTGCATTTTTGGTGTGTGTTTTTGACTCTATTAAATGGAGATTTTTGTATTTTTCCATTAAGGTTACCTTTGTGCAGCCTTAACATATTGATGAAAGTCATATATGTTATGACGATCAAGCTATAATTTATCATGAAAATCATAACTGCAATTTATAGCTTAAAAAACACAAACTGTGGTTTATTATCCATACTTAAAAGTTTAAATACCCTTTAACTCTATTTTTGGATTTACTAACTATAGTAAAAATTACAATTAATTAGGATTGTTTCCCATTTTGTCAAAGGCCTGGTTTATTATTCGTCTCCAATATTATGCACATAATTAACTGCATTGAGTGGTCATATTTCTGAAATTAAATAATGACTGATCATAAATGTTGCTGGGTTCAGTTAACTAAAAAATGTAAGCCTGGCAAAGGAAGAATAAAGGAACTGTCAAAGTTTTGTAAATAAGGTGAAAGGAAGCACCATGTCTTTAAAAGTCACAAGATGTGGAGACATCTCAACTCCAAGCAGTGTTTGAGCTCTACTGGGTTCTAGGCATTGTGCTGGGTTTTGAAAAGCAGTGACCAAGACAGACATATTACTTGACCTCACAAAAGCAGCAGTCTGGTGGGGAGGCAGAAAATAAAATAAGCAATTAAAATACCCAGTGGTAGCTGCTGTAATGGTCTAAGAAGCTGAGGCTGCCATGGCAGTGCCCAGCAGGGGCATCTAACTCAGTTGGAGATGAAAGTTGGAGAGGGAGTTTATAGAGTGGAATCTGAATAATGAGGGGTTAGCTAGGTGAGGGGTGGGGTGGGGTGGCACTATAGGCAGAAGAGTGGCCCGGAGGTCAGAGGGCATTTGGTATGTCTGGAGAGGGCGGACACGTTCAATATGGCTAAAGTATGGACTACGAAGGGGTGAGTTTTCAGGGGTCAGGATGGAGAGTCTAGGGACCAGATCTCTGTGGCGTGCTTCATAGACCATGTCTAGGATTTTTGAATTTAACTTAAGAAGGGATTTTGAACAAGGGAAAGAAGGAAAGAGATTTTTGTCCTAAAAAGGTCACTTGGTCTGCAGTGTAGGGAGTGTCAGACGAGGGTGTAGCTGGATGGGGGAGACGAGAATGAAGGAGACAAGCAGCTGTGTTCTAGCCTAACCACGTGTGAGAGGAAAGATGGCTCAATTTGAAGTGATAGCAGCAGGCCTGGACTAAGAATGAGAACACAGATTTAAGATATGTTTACCATGACATGGAGAACGGTGATATCCTGACAGGTTGTTTTGTAGAAGAGGGAAAGAGAGAAATTAAATGTAAAACTCAAGACGTTTGGCACAGGCAGTTGGGCGGGGGGTGGTGGGCGGTATTCCCCGTGCTGGGGAGTGCAGGAACTTTGAAAAGTTTTGCAGAAAGTTGATGTGTTTGGTTTGAGACGCCCATGTGGCTTCCAAGTGTCCAAATGGATCTACATTCCAGGCTTTTGGATACATAGTCTAGGTCTAAAGTTCAGACGAAGGAGCTGAGCTGCAGGCACAGTTTGGGGCTTGTCAGCTCATAGATTATAATTGAAATAATTGGAGTGGGTGAGACAGCATTAAACACCTGTGAGGCAGATGGTCACGTTTTGAGAGGAAAGAGTAAGGAACAGGATAGGAAAGGGTAAGACACGGAATTTAGGTGATGAAAGGGATTTAGTCTACATGTATGTGATTTGCTTAAGGACACGGGGTTAGGAAATCACACTGAAAGGCTGGGAGTCTCACGGTCTCACTTTGCCAAGTGCACCCGAGTCACAGAATCTCCTGGCTTTGTTTTTCACCTGGATGAAAAAGGATGTGTTCCTCATATATCTCTAAAATTTCATGATCAGATTCCTATCTGAAGATACGACAAATTTAAAAAGTGAAATACATACTTTTATCTAAAGTGAGATCACAATTATGTAAAAGCTAAGTTGAAGAAAAAAGGTGAAAAAATAAACCAAAA